ACCAATAGGAAAATTCGGTATGCTTCAACAGATCAAGCAACATAATCATGAGCGTCAGAACCAAAAGGAGTTCAATATAACCGAAAGCAACGGTTAGTGTATTTGATGTTGTTTTAAAAAGCCTTCCCAAACCACAGTGGTTACATTTGGCGTGACTCTGTTCTTGCGTTGGTTGCTTATTGATGTATTATCCCTCAAAAATCCAACACACTTGTTTATTTGTTGACTCGATACCCGCTACATTTCAATTTGGCGTGGATAGAGAACGTGATCGATCTGTTAGCTCTTGTTGGACATCCTATTTGGTTCTGGATTCCTTGAGTGCTTTCGGCCGGATATTTGAGGTCAGCGTTGTTTAATATTTTGTATTGATTTCTCTTTTTCAGTACCGTAGAACATTACGGGTCAATCCTGTTTTATATTGGGATTCGTATCGATTTCATCTACGCGTCACTCAAGTGCCATTCGGTTGACGCACAGTACTCAAATTGGAATCAAACGAGAAAACTATTTCGAAGACGCGATTTGGTTGACGTACACTTAGTCCAACAAAGAGCCAGCAATGGAAACTTTGTTCGTAATGAAACCAGAAAAGCACTGAATTCCATTTGCGTATAGGCACAAAGCACTTGAAGCGTATGTCCAATAGATATTTTTTTACCGTAAAAAGGTAAACTAGAAGGTTGAGAATGGAAAATGTACCCACACGAAAACCACTGTCAGAAAGGATGCACGATGGAATAGCGAAGAACCTTAAGGACATTCAAGATTATTTAGAGGAATTTTCAGTCCTTCTTACTGTTACACCAACTGGTTTCTTGGCTACATTTGCAGCTGCTTTGTTATACGACTGTCTCGGTGCAGTCTTACGTGCTCTGAGAGGACTCGAATGCCTGCCGATTTCAGCTATCCCGAAATGCTGTGAATGTTCTAGGCTCCCACGGTTCGCTGTTGGTATGATATCCTTGTATGATATGTAAACCCACTGGGAGCACTTGTGTTGCCGGTAGAGCGCATATGGTTAGCTGGGCATCGCTGAGTACTTCAGGTGGGCCCATCTTTCGCAGAGTTCGCATTGTATACCCCTCGTAACTCTTCGACCGCAGCTAGAGAACAAGCAATTGTCGGACGTGAGGAATATAGTTCAAATAAATACTATGGATACCACAGAAAGCTAATAGAAGAGTAAAAATGTTTATCTGCGCATAAAATAGTTGTCTCTGCGTGAGACAAAGAAAAATTTATATAAGCTTGAGTATAACGTTACTCTAAAACACCGAAATAACAACGGTTTTCTAAATGAAACTCGAGAAAAAACAATATTTTCCCAGTAACAGTTGTACCTCGGGAATACCTGGGTACGTTTAAAGGATTGAAACAACATACGCTATTTCAATAAAATGGCAGACGATTAACTTCTGTTACACCACTTCAAAAAATCAAAACACTCGGTTACTCACTTCAAAGACGAATTCACGGGAATTCACTGGTATTAGCGGGCTTGGGATTTGAAGTTTTTGAGTAGCCCGGGTTCTGATGTTCGGTTTACTGCTCGGTGACGGACAGAGGTCCTCGGGGTAGTTGTGTGTTACTCGGTACCCGATTGTGTATGAAACAGGAGACAGCTAGGAGTGCTACTGTTTACCTATTTTTTTGTGCGCTCGTACGAAAGCAATGGTAAAAACCACATAAACGTGGTTCACAAAGACTTGCCACTGTACGTCAACCAATTCGCGCTTGAGTGACGCGTAGCCGAACCGATACGAATC